GTGTTCCAACTTATAATTTTAATTTTTGTATAAAATATGATATTTTACATTGTTAATGTAAACAAATTTATAATATAAAAAATACTATGTTATAGTTTCTTGTTTTTTAAGAATATATTATATGAAAATGAAAATTTGTGTATATTTGCAAGAACTTTTTGGAAAGGCTTGTTGGGCTTTTCAGGGGGATTCGCCTCCCAAGCCCCCTTATTTTCCACCAATGCCTGTATGATGTTATAATCGCTGTAATCGATGGTCGATGCAAACATATTAATATACTTGAAAACATAATGTATAACGCTAATTGTGATAATAATTATACAAAATAATACCACTGATCAAATGAAACCATGAACGTTAGATAATAACATTTTAACTAATCTGCGATACCTATCTAGATAACCGTCTATTTTTATTTTCCTATTTTTTTTTTATCGAAAAGCATTCATAAATCACAATTTGTTTATTAAATTAAACAATAATATTAGAAAACAGATTAAAAATTATTTGCCTACGAACCAGTACAATCCATCGGGAAAACTCCCGAATTCCCGATGGGTTAATCTGCCCCTGGTTCTTAATTTTAACTGTATAGAATTTATGTCTATTATTAATTCTAACTTCTAGGATACCTAGTAAATTATGATAGTAGGTACCTAACAAATTTGTATTTTATTTATTTATCTTGAACTTGATCAACATCTTATCAGACTGTTACCAGTAATAATTTGATTGTTTCGATCCAAACAATTTAATTGTACAATTAAAAACACATATGATATATTTTTGAACAATCATATTATATTAAAATTTAAGTATTTACGTACTAAACTTTGACTGTAATTAAATGAGATTTATCGGAATAAAATAAGTGTAAAAAAATACTGTACTTAAAATATAGAAAATAACAATTTTTAAATTACTCTGCCTTGCATTTGTATGTACATTTTTATTTGTTTATGTCCAATCGTACTTAAATCAAGACTTGGCCAGACGTACTATATTATACGGGAAAGTTCCATATTTCAAAAGGCTGTACCGTTATTCTAACGAATGCTTTCGAGACGCTTAAATGTCCTGTATTTAAAATATATATCCCGTATATGTTATATTATTTTTAGGATACACGGTATATCCCGTTTTATTACCGAAATTTAAATAATCGTAGTAAAATTTTTGACGAAAATCAAAAAAGTTTGGCTGCCAATGAAGGTGTTTTTGCTTATCATATAGGTATGTAAAATAACCTAAGTATTAGATCAATGGATTGTACATCTCTACTTATTAAAAAGTTGCATGATAAAAATTTCTTGTGAAAAAACAAGAACTGCTCAAATAATCAAAATGCGCTTTTTATCCGTTTGCTAACGAAATTTTAAGAAAAAAATTGACTGGATGTAATTTTATTTACATATTAACAGATGCATCAAATTATCATTCCCAAAAAAATGGTCCCACTGCTGATTCACTATTTTATTCCAATTGAAGAAGTTAAAACAAAAAAAAATTAATTTGATGAACTTACGGGCGAAACAGCTTTGCAAATGCAGGGTTATTTGACGAGTTTACCATACTTACATTTTTACAGAAAAATGAAAAAATTAAATCTATATATATACTAGATGAAAAGTGGGCATATATTTTTAAAACCGCCGAATGCCATTTTTTCTAATTTAAAAATTAATGTTCAATTTTTATTATGTATTTCTGAATCAAATGCACACGTGGAACGTATATTTTCCAATATAAACAATTTATAGACGGATTAGAAGAGTTGACTGTAGTCAGACTATTGGAGACATTTTAGTTGTCAATCATTTTTTACAGAAAATTGTTCAGAGTTTCATGATCTATTAGTATAAAATCTAGCATTAATCAAACAAATTTCATTCTTCACAAAAATATTTACTAAAAAATCATGAAACTTCCTGCTCTAAAAGAACTTAATTTTTTCAGTAACTTAAGTTCCTTTTTATGTTCTTAATATCTTATAAGTAAAGACCGGATTTAATTGATGATGCGAATTTTTTTGCAATAAAGGTAAATCAGATCTGATTAAATATATAACCGATACATACTACAAATATTCTGCCTATTTATTTTTATAATGTAATATTTTCAATTTTCGACGTTTATACAATTGTTTGCACTTTTCACAGGTTTTTAAACCATAGGCGTTTATCGTTCACCAGAAATTTTCTAGAAGCTTAGAGAGCTCAGAGAGCGATAAGCCTATATATATATAGTGGTAATTAAGTTTAACGTAGTAGTACAGCGATTCGTGTGGTTTTACCTGTTGGTACCTTAGTACCTATTTCTTTGATCAGTTTGATCGCACAGTAAACGTATTCGACGTAAAGCATAAAATAAAATCAACTTTATAAAGTAAAATTTCGAATTGAATTGCTCCTTACAATGAAAAAAAAGAAATATTTTCATCAGATGGTAAGGTTATATATTGTCTCGTATGTAACAAATCTGTGTGTACTAAAAAAAAATATCTATTGGATCATTATTCCAAAACAAGTAAAAAAACAAAACAAATACAGAAAATAAATGCAGGGTATATCTTTACCACCCGAACCTATTATTACAAGATGAGAAACATGGTTAAATTCTGCACTTTTTTATGCAAATAATTTTGAAGAGTTTAAAAACGTGATTGAAAGTTTAACAGATGACATTACAAGTGTCGAAAAGTTGAAACAGCTTTTACAAAATGATGCAGTCAAATGTAGTTTAGGATTCATAAAATTACACTTATCCGAGTTATCCATGAATTTTAAAAATTTGGAAGAATCTAATAGTGAACTACTGAAAAGCATGGATATTTTTAGAAAAATTGAAGATATTTTAACAAATATTCCTGGTCTAAATGGGAAAAAAATTAAAGAAAAATATATGTATGTAATTGAAAAAAATGAAAGGTATAAAACTTTAAAGTCATACTATAAAGTCATGTCAGGTATGTCAAGCAAATGTTAATTTAGATAAAAAAAACGCCTACTTTATTAAATTGTTTTAAATATGCACCAATAACCAGTGTAGACGTAGAATGTAGTTTTTCTTTGTGCAAACATATTTTAAGTAATAGAAGATTTAATTTTAATGAAAATAATTTAGAAATATATCTAATTATCAATTTTAATTAAAAAAAGTAACATTTATCTAAATTTTTTTATATAACTTTTGCATTTTTATAGCGCAATTTATTATGCAATTTTTACCTATTTTTTGGTACAATTATATAATTTTAATATGCAATTATTATGTGCTTAAAATGTAATTAAATTCCGTCTTTACTCATTAGTAATTTATAAGTTATAAGTCTTTAATTTTTAACAATTCCAAAAATAGAATTACTATTTTATTTTAGTCATTAAAACATCAACAACAAATGTTACCAAGGATGGTTATCCATTACTAGTTACTACAGATTACTTGTTTTATTTCGTTTACTGTATCACAAATTGTTAAACACAAATATTTACAGATGGGTAATTTATTGTTAATTATCATAAAAAAAGCATCCTTCCTAGTGTTTTTTATTTGTCCCGTATTCCCAAATTTATTATGTATAGGGTGGCCAGATTTGCCACCCTATACATAATAAGAGTGAAAACTTCCACATAGAACCAACATAGTATTATCAAAAGTTATTGTTGTTATTATTATTATTATGCAAATCATTGTGCAATAATATTCAAATAACAAAATATTGTTTCTACAGCTGCAGTCGGTCGAAAGGCTATAATATAATGTCCGAAAGTATAGTACCTATCCGAAAAATATTTCAGTAGAAACGTATTTTATCCGAAAAGTAATAAATACGAAAGTATAATACATAAAAATAAATGATTAGAAAGTATTTAAGCCGAATTGTATTTTAGCAGAAAATATTCGTTATCTTACCACAAAATCGTAGACTCTATTGTATTTATACCACAGAATAAACTTAGAACTAAGAAATTAACATGTATGTATCTAATGCTATAGATTAAATATAAGTACCATAATATTAAGTGTATTCTATGGTAATGGTTATAGAAATATGGACCATAGAGTACTTCTATTACTCTATAGTAGAGAGTATATTATTATTTACCTAGGCTCTCTACTCTATGGTATAGACAGTATTCAGTTAGATGGGAAGAACTACCTCTTGTAATGACCAAGTTCTTTTATGCTCATACTAGCATAATTATATTATATGGAAATAATACTTTGCATAATTTATAGTAATATAATATTCAAATTCTTTGTATTATTTGTATAATAATATAATATTTGCAAAGTTTGACAGTGCCCCCATCATGGACATCATAGAAAATAAAATGTGGACATGACACACCTATTTATATTAGTTCTAAGGTTATTCTATGGTATACAAGGTGGATTAATCCACCTTAATGGTATATATACAGTCTTTGTTTTTGTGATAAAATAACGAATATTTTCGACTTAATTATTTTTCGGATATTCGAATGAAATATTTTCAAATAAAATACGTTCGAATGATATAGTTTTCGGCCAAAATTCGTTTCTGACGAAGTATTTTTCGGATATAATATTATGGTTCTGATCATATACATTTCTAACAATATACTTTTCGGCTAAAATACTGTTTGGATAAAACATTTTCGGATATTTTACTCATTCTAAGTCGGTCGCTGAAAATAATATCTCGTGAAGAATCCCTGGCAACAAACTTGGACCTGCAAATAGTGCAAATCGATGGATCAATCACATATATATGATTTTGATTTTAGTTTACTGGCTGATTTAATTCGATAAAAACATAATATCTATTTTGTCTAAAATACCGGTAGTCACAGAAATCGTTTGTTGTCGTTTATTTCGTACACACACACACCAACAAATCTTCATCTGAATATTTATTTCACCACACACACAATCTTTTATACGAAAGAAAAAAATTAGTTTTTAAATACTATATCTAATATATTTGTATTTAATAACATAAAAGAACTACAGTAATCATGCGTGAAATTTGTCATCTACAAGCCGGTCAATGTGGAAATCAAATCGGCGCCAAAGTGAATATAAACAAAATTTAATAATAGTATTTACTAATGTTAAAAATGATATAGGTACTTATACTATTTTTAATGTAAGTACTTACCGGAATGTAAAATAACCCTCTTTTCATTGTTATTTTTTTCACAATCGCCGTTGATCGAGCCAAGCACGTATTCTGGAAGAATTTTCAGGAGGGGTAAAATATTTTTAATACACAAAACTTTTAGTTTATCTTTGTTATATTATAAAAGTGCACTATATACCAATTTTAAAAATTTCAGGGAGAGGGTATACGAACTCGAGCCCTATCTATCATAATTTTGTCACTAGACTAAAAGCACATTTTTTTTAGATTCTTTGCGCACCGAAGAATATATTTATATAATATAATGATATTACCTGTATTGATATTTAATGTTACTTTGATGTGTTCTTTTTTTTTTGTCTTGTTGACAAATTAACAACCAAAAATATTGTCCAAACTAAAAAAACAACAACTGACCTTTTTTGTTGAATTTCGGATCTAGTCAATGCTTTGAGGTTCACAATAATTGGGTAAAACAGAAAAAAAAGTATTGGAAAAACGGAAAACAAAAAAATGATAGAAGTTTCATTATTATTAATTTCTTCGTTTTTGTTTTTCTACCAGAACCAAATATATTTTTTGGACTTTTCAAATTGTTATTTTTAATGTAGTTTTTAATGAACATTAATTTTATTATTTTTATTTTTTAATAGCAACCTATATTGAAAATTCAATAAATAAACTAAATAATAGTTTAAATACAGTTGAATAGGTTAACATTTTTTATTTCAATCAACCTGGTTTCACTTTAAAGTTTGAGTAGGGTGAGAGTATTTAAACATCATGTATGTGGCAGCATAGTGACGTTTGAATAATCTTCCACGACAAAAAAATTCCGAAAAAATGTATTACTTTCCAAGATACCGCTATGATTATATCTTGGTGAACACCTGCATATTAAAAAAAAAAACAACCATCAAAAATATTCTCTTTAAATTTCGAGATCTGTGTTTTAAACTTTAATTTCTAAACCAGACAATAATAATAGTTAAAAAGTTAAAACCTAATTTATAACTTATATCAGTTATTTTTATTAATAATTTAGATATGATTTAAAAAAATAAAATTTAAGAAAATGAATAAGTTAAAAAATTATTTAATTATTTTATGTAATTATTTACGAACTCTTTTTTTTAATAATTTCGCATTTTTTTCTACAAAATCTTAGGTATCTCTAGCATGAGATAATATTTTTCTGACAATTTATAACTTACAACATACATTTAAATTAGTTTTTATTTAAGAAATTAACTTGTTATTTTAGATTCTGATTGGAACGAGAAATGTATTAGTTTTTAAAATTATATTTACTATTTCTTTTTTATGTGAACACTTTTTCTACTAGAAAGCATACTCCCATTATCAAATATAACATCTTTTCTGAAAAAAAAATGTTCTCTGGGTGGTACTTTAGAGGAGTTATTTTTTTAAATTCTCATCAATATTCGAGATGATGAAGTAAACCTTGGCCTTAGGTTTAAATAGATTAAAAGATTAAAAATAAGGTTGTCATTACAATAAGGTCATTGGCAACCTTTTTTATTTAATTTGTATTCTTATTAAGTTTTTATTATTTTAATCTTTTTTAAACAATCATTTTTGTCATGGAAACGCACATTGTTTTAATCATTTTACCATAATATATTGTATTATTGATAAAGCAACATTACCAACTGATCACCACTCAGAATTTTTTTTCGTTAGCAATGGTTTATCGTTGTTTACAGATATATATTAAATTCCTATCTGTATCTACCTTCCCTACTTCCCATCTACACAGTGGCTGTACCCACGTACGAAGTATGTCCGTTCTATTTGTTTTTTTTCATTTTTATTGTGAATTTTAATTTATTATAATTGTTTGTAATTTAAATCATTAAGTTATTGTTATTGTTAACTTATTAACAATTGAAAATTATGTATTTTTAAATCTGAATAAGTTATCCTATTATTTATGGCTGTGTGTTAATATGTTTGAAATATTTTTATTTTTAATCGAAGATAATATAAGAATTTATAAATTATGATATTTGTGATATTTCACACATTCGTATCCAGTAGTCCACACAGAGGGAGGTTAGAGGTTTAGAAGCCTTTCCCTGCCAAAAAGTATTTCTTCACTAAATCTTTTAAATTCAAATTTTACATTCAGAAGCATATTAATATCATATACCTACCACAGAATAAAATAATGAAATTGTATTTCATTTAAAATCATATATTCGGTAATAACTAATAATAGTAATAGTACTGTACTGATATGTGCCATCTCCTCTCTAGGAAATTATTATATACACAACATCCCCCCCCCAAAAAAAAACCAGCGTACGCTACTGCTCGTATTTTGCCTAAAAACAACATAAAATAACACCGCAAACCTAATTTTACTAAACTTAAATTTACCCTACATGTTATACGTTTGTAACAAACTACATACTGTACAGCAATCTCTCAATCGGTCGTGGATTTAAGGATTCATTTTTAAAACTATTTTCAAAAATAAAAACTGGTATAGGTATGCATAATTGTATCACAATACAAAAAAAACTTACTATACTACGGTATTTGGGGGGGGGGGCGACAAGATAATTTATTGCCACCTTGCTCTTAATATCCAATGATAATAATATGACTAAAATACTACATTTTTTTTTACTCGCAATCTTTTTTTATAGTTTTGGGAAGTAATATCCGACGAACACGGCATTGATCCAAGCGGATCGTATCATGGTGATTCCGATTTACAATTGGACCGGATTAATGTGTACTATACCGAAGCGCTTGGTAATAATTTTTTATTGAACTCGTATTAATTATATAAACTTATTTAAATAAAATTAACAAACCAATAATTTATTTATTTAAAAAATAATAATAAAATAATAGTAATATATTTATTAACATATACATTATACAGTGTATCCCACCATGTTCGGTGAATTTTTCTAGTGATATTAATATTAAATTTATTTCGATTTTTTTTTTTTTCAATCTGTTTGTCTTAGAGGGGGAAATTGATTTGGAAAAAAATTTAATTTTTATTTTCATCCCCTAAATACGAAAAACAAATAAATCTTTATTTATTCACTTTAGACAATGTTAAAAATAGCCATTTTGTAAAAAATATTAAACAATTTTAATGTACCACACATTCATCCGATAAATAATTTCTTGGTTATAGCCGTTTTAATTAGACATGGAAACAATTAATATTCAATAAAATAACATGTTATGTAATAAAGAATGACAATCAGCACGGTAATTTTTTACCTTCTATTGACTATTAATTCTTTTCAAGAATATTTTCTAGAAATAAAAATGGCTATAACTAAGAATCTATTAATCGAATATGAATGTATGATATATAAAATTGTTAGAATAATATTTTTTACAAAATAGCTATTTTGAAAATTGTCTAAAATTAAAAAATAAATAAAAAGTTATTTTTTTTTTTTTTGTGTTTAGGGGATTAAAATAAAAATTTTATTTTTCTCCAAACCAATGTCCCAATTGAAGACAAACCAGTTAAAGAAATAAATCTAAAATAATTTAATAGGTTTTTGGGCAGGGATGTTAGGTATAAACTATACAGTATAATATTTTTGCATTGATATTTATATTATACAATATTTTAACTGATAGTGGGATAGATTGCATTGTATACCTATATAATATATGTCCTCATTGATTGATTGATTCTCCTCATTCAGGGTTAAATTAAGCATATAATTAAATTCTGATTTTTGGTATTATTTAGTGTAGTGAAAAACATTTTTGAATACTTTTATTGTTCAAAACATTTGAGGAGTATCATGTGGTGAGGATACCAATTTCGAAAAACATATATTATAAATTCTATAAATAAATGGAATATTAAATAGAATAAATTTTGGTAAAACAAGTTTTAATTTCCGTCAACTGATTCATCAGATATTTCACTTTTAAATTTAGGCAGGTAAAGAATTATGGGATTCAAACACCAGGACACTGTGCCACTACACTACATACTATACTCACTGTGCTACAACACACAATAACAATAAATAAATAAACAATAATATATTTATACTTCAATAAGTTCTTGTTATATTTTACCAGTAGTTTACTATAATATATTTTGTATCTATAACTATTTACGTATAACATTGTATAGATAATTTGTATTAAATATATTTATTCAACATTTTAAAAGTATATAAATAAGGTTATTCATGGTAAATAATATTATTAATAGTATGATACTGTATCTGTATCCTATTGCGAAAATGTATACATATGTACTACATAACATCTTATAATTCTTCAAAATTAGCCCCAATCTTTGATTGACAAAAGTTGTGATATAAAGCCATGTTGTATGGTTTAAGATAGAAAAAATATAACAGTATTATTTGGTCTAAAGAATTAGTTCATTCCACTAAAATAAAAGATAAAAAAAATATTTTTATAGAATAAGTAACGTATGTAAGTAATATAATCGCAGTCATATAGCCAAGTTATTTAATTTAAATACAATTTTATAATTTGCCTACGCACTTAGTTAAACTCCTGGTTCCTCTATGATTATAACATATTATCACACACTTCGACCAAAAAATAAGGGTGACAAAAATAAATGTAAAGTAACATTTTAATTCTGTTTGTTTCTAATGGTATTAATAAAACAAAATACAAAAAATTGTATAAGGTTATAAGCTATATTGATCGTTCTGTATACATTCATTTTTTATTTACATAACTATACAATAAAAGGTTTTGCTGTTTATATATTTAATATAATATGGATTCATAACCTCAGACCTCAAAAAAATAAACCTAATATTAGATTTTCAAATCCAATTTTTGGCTTTTTTAAAATTTATAACAAATTATATATTTTTGTATGGATAACTTACTACGTTTAAAATTTGAAATGAGTATAAAACAGTTTAATAGAGAAAAAAATGTTTATAAGATATTTTCCAGCAGCCACCTAACACTCACGTTTTTACATTATGTGATAATATAAGTTAATGCGATTATGACGAAATATTTTGAAAGATACTTCATATTATATTTATCCTAATATCATAATCATATTAAAAAATTGAATTCAGATAATGAACTCCAGCAAATCGTAATTTATCCTACGATTAATTATAGGAATAGGAAAGTTTCGAATCTTGTATAATATACACTCTGTATAGAAATTGGTCCTTTCTGTCTCATGCATTAACAACGTTTATTGTACTACCTAGCTAAAAATGACAATATTATAGACATATATATATATATATATATATATTATTATCCTATGTATAGGCGGTAAATACGTGCCACGGGCAATTCTCGTGGATCTGGAGCCGGGAACCATGGATTCGGTAAGATCGGGTCCCTTCGGTCAGATATTCCGACCAGACAACTTTGTTTTCGGCCAATCCGGTGCCGGCAACAACTGGGCCAAGGGGCATTACACGGAAGGAGCCGAGCTGGTGGACTCAGTGCTGGACGTGGTTAGAAAAGAGGCGGAAAGTTGCGACTGTCTGCAGGGATTCCAGTTGACCCATTCGCTGGGTGGCGGTACTGGTTCCGGGATGGGCACGCTGTTGATATCGAAAATTCGTGAAGAATATCCGGATCGAATTATGACCACATACAGTATCGTTCCGTCGCCAAAGGTAGAATAATAACGTTGGTTATATTGCCACCGAGAATAATAATATTTAAATTGAAAAGAGTGTCAATTTTAAAATTATAAAGAGTCTATGCATAAAGGTCGGAATAATAATTTCATAAGTAAATTTGGAGGGAATGAGAAAAGTAATCAAACTCACAACCTAAGTGATTATTTTATTCGGGGAAGGGGGATAGGTGAGATCGAAAACCGTATGAACTGCAAAGTAGATTGAAAAGTCATCATCTGACGATCAGATGTCGAGTAGTAATCACCACATAAAATATATTATGTTTCGACCGATAGACCGCCGTTTTAACGTTTCTTTTTTTTTTTTTTTTTAATCAATCACTCGAACTTTTATGACCTTTTATCATGTGGATACCTTTATAAAGATGTAAACATTTTATGTGGATAGGTATCCGACACGGTCGTGGAACCGTACAACTCCACACTGTCCGTGCACCAGCTGGTCGAGAACACGGACGAATCGTTTTGCGTGGACAACGAAGCGCTGTACGATATATGCTTCCGGACTCTGAAGCTGACAACGCCCACGTACGGCGATCTCAACCATCTAGTGTCGGCTGCCATGTGCGGCGTGACCACTTGCTTCCGATTCCCCGGTCAACTCAACTCGGACCTGCGGAAACTAGCCGTCAACATGGTACCGTTCCCACGGCTTCATTTCTTCATCACCGGATTCGCTCCGCTGACGTCCCGTGGTAGCCAACAGTACCGCGCGCTATCCGTACCCGAGCTCGTTCAACAAATGTTCGACGCCAAGNATGCTCAACGTGCAAACAAAGAACTCTGCGTACTTCGTCGAGTGGATACCAAACAACACCAAGACCGCGGTGTGCGACATACCGCCCAGAGGCCTAAAAATGTCCGCCACGTTTATCGGCAACACGACCGCCATCCAGGAGATGTTCAAGCGCGTTTCCGAACAATTCACATCCATGTTCAAGCGTAAGGCATTCTTGCACTGGTACACCGGTGAGGGCATGGACGAAATGGAATTCACCGAGGCCGAGTCCAATATGAACGATCTCATATCCGAGTACCAACAGTACCAAGACGCCACCGCCGAAGAAGAAGGTGAGGGCGACGAGGACGAAGATGCCGAGAACTAATGTTGCTGTAATACATGCACTTATTATAATAATAAGTACATCATTTTTATTAATTATTTTACAACCACGATGTATACATGATTAGAAAATTGTGTGATATACTAATTATAATTTTTCGGAAAAAAAATTATCATAGTTTTCTTTTTTATTTGTCATTTATCAATCGTGTATATTATAGTACTTTTTGAAAATTCTATGGCCTTCTATAAACCTTTTAATGGCGGCAGGGGGGTTATAATCTTATTAACTAAGGCTTTACTTCAGGAGGAAAGTGATAGGGTTTAGAAAAATAAATAAATCAACAAGAGTGTAATTTTACCCTAATTTTGTAACCTAACCTAACAAGACAATTAAGAGATAATTGGTTGAAAGAATTATAGATATTAGTATCAATGATGTTTGGTTTTGAAAAAAGTGAATCTTATTTCTCGTTCCTTTGTATCCTTAGCAGAATACATCTTTATTTATCTTATATAGTCTTGTTTTTTAGAGATTATTTTACAAAGTATATAATTTTATAATAGAATTTTTTATACCTAGTCGTGTAATTAGTGCATATACACAATCGGTGAGATAAACTGTTCGATAAGATCTAGCCCACTGATCCAGAGATAACAGCAGCTCTGTTTAGATTGAATCCTGTAAATTGTATAATTTTTTACTACAATAAAAATAACATTTATTTGTCTTTTTAGATTTTAAGTGCATCAAAGTATGTATTATTATTACAATTACAGAAAAGGGACATGTCCCTAAAACTAAATACTACAGAAAGCACAATATGTCTTGGCTTATACGTAATTTCGCTAAAATCCATTGGTTGTGAAATTGGCATTTACGTACCTAAGTAATAAAGTAACCAATAAATAAAAAAAAAAATCCAGAAGAAATATAATTAATAATTGATATTTAAAAGTAAGTAAAACAGCTCACAAAGACTATATATTTTCATTAGGGTTTAGATTTTTATGCATTTTAAAACCATAAAAATACCTTTAAAACATCATAAATGCCTAAAAATTACTTAAAATCACTTAAACATATTTAAAAGAGCAATAAAGATAAAGGTGTTTAAAAGCCCCCTATACGATAATCATAAAAGGATTAAAACCCTTGTACCACTTTCACCTTTTTTAATATTTTAAAGTTCTTTTTTAATGATTTAAGCGCTTTTTTGTTGGTTTTAAATACATATAAATCCGTCCCTAATGATTATTGATCGCATAGTTATTAACGGAAATTTGGAGGTGGCTTTTGGTTCTAAGCCCTTCCCCACAATTTTCACTAATGAGCATAACAACAGTTTCTATGATCACGTATTCACCTAGTATCACCTTGAATTTATTTTGTGGTATAATTCATAAATGGTGTATGAAAAAGTGATGAGAAACGTTTACGAAAACCGCTCGCATTTTTACACAGTGTACACAAAATAAAATACTACCCGACGTGATTTTTTATAACAAATCAGGGTTTATTTTCGATGAGTACAGATACAAAATGATAGTGATAAACCCTACAAAAATTCATGGGGGTGCAAGTGCACTCCTTGTACCCCCCGAGATTACGCCAATGTGTCTAGGCAATACTAAGAAGTAAATAGACTTAAAAATGAATAAATCATATTATAATCCACCTTTTCATAAATTAATCATCTTGATAATTTCCAAAAACTAACATGATCGCACCAATGGCAACCATTTTAAATTGTCGGACATGTCACCTTTCTACAAATAACCATTTAAAATACAGAAATAGTAATAAAAATTATTTTATTTTATTTTTTGTAGTGAAAAATCTTTTATTCTTTGAACAATTTGGAAACATACATATTTAATAATTTATTTAAGAAAAAAGTTTATTATTTAAGTTGTTAGCAAGTTGGCTTTTTGTAAATTATTCGCCAAAATCTGAAAAAAAATTATTGTAGGTAGTGGCGTAATTACGATATGAACTTACGGGGAACACGACGGTGCGCTTGCACCCCCTGGCAAAATGTAGCAGGTGTAAAGATATACTGAGATATCAAATTCTATGAAAATATAATTCTATTTCATTTTTTTGTTGAATATTTTGATAAAAATAATAGAACTGTACATATGATAAAATACATAACGTTATAAATTAATTCTGTTATCATTAATCATTAATCAATTATAGTCGTAAATATTATCGATAATTTCTTTCCTTTTAATTAGTATAATTATAAATAATATTGTTTATTAGACAGTAGACAATGTTACTATTATTATTATTATTATTATTATTCATGTAAAATAGATATAATGATTAAAATATTTAATTTGAATTAATTAAAATTAAAATTATTTATATTCGAATAGCATATATTTTAACAAAAGTGGAAAGAGTTTGCATGATATAAATTTTAAACGAGCATTCAATTATAGTTAGAAGGCTTTGCGGTAAAAAGAGCTTTTTTTAATTTTTTCACTATGGAGTTTTATAATGCTACCATAAATGACATAGGCAAAAATGTATTTAGCTTACTTACACCCAATAGTGATATATGCTTGTGAGGCAGGGTGGATAAGAAGATGAAAAGAAGCTTCTTTTATTTGAGAGGAAGGTGCTAAGAAAAATGTACGGACCAGTGAAAAAAGAATCAACAGGGGATTATGAAAGGTGAAACAAATACCATCTTTGAATCCCTATATAATAAACCAAATATTAAATATTTTCTGAAAGCTAAGCGACTAGAATGGGCATGTTATGTATGGTGAGCCGAAGAAACATAATTCCGAAAATACTGATTAATAAACCAACTGGTCAACGTCCTAGGGGAAGATCTCAGCAACGATGGCAAGACAGATTAAATGTAGTAATAAAAAAACGGACATACTTCACTGAGTGAGTCACTATTGTAGGTGAAAAGTTGGGGAGGTAGAGGGAAAATGTTATGTATATCTATAAGCAAAGATAAACCATTGCTTACGAAAAAACCATTCTGAGAAGACTTTTGTTAATAGTAGACCTTTATCAACAATATATATGTCATATTATATTAAAATAATTAAATAGACTTTGTATATTTTCTTTAATAATATTTGTTTAATGTTGTATCGATTTTCCTAGTTTTCCTACGTTTTTCCCCATGTTTCATCCCGGGTTTTCACATTTGATGAGAAAACTCCTGAAGAAATCGAAAAATGACATCTCTAAAGTACCTTCCTAGTCAGATTTTCTTTCAGAAAAAGTGCTATTATTGTAAATTGGGGCAAAATTGCTGGTAGAAAAGTTGTACACAGAAAAAAAGAAGGCCGTAATATATTTCAACTAATATCTACATTTCTTATATTTTCCCGTTTTATATTCTGAGTGTAGCGAAGAATGTATTGGTTTTACTAAGATATTTATTTATTTTTTTTTTTATCCAGTGTACGAAAATTTGACCATAAATCTTGCTCAGTTATATATGCGCGGTACTATTTCTAAAAGGGAATATTGTCCAGATGGTACTTTTAATTTTTTGTTTTTTGTTTTGAACATAATATGTGTACGGCCGATTTATGAACGATGGTGAAGTCAGAATTAAGCAGACTGATTTAGTTTCGAAATTATAGCTGTTCGATGTTCTGATATTATGCGTTATGTTAAATAACTCAATATTGTAAATTTTATAGAATATTTGTCGTAGTATAGTCGTGGATCGTACCTCATGTCATACTAGAGATCGCAAGTTCAAACTTCAGTTCTGAAAAAATTTATTTGCAAAAACACGTCGGATGGTAACAGGGAATAAACAAACGCACTTTGGGTGCTCCTAGAGATCTAAGCCATCGCTCACTTGGAATATTTTAATCAAAAAATATTCCGTGATATGTTGTGCAAACTTTTCTACTAGAAATCTTGCTTCAATGTATCAAGTTTTGCACCTTTCCGAAAGGAGATTTTATCTGAATGGTACTTTAGGGAGGTCATTTTTTGATTTTTCAAGCGGTTTTCATAATAATTGAGAAAAACCCAGATAAAATATAGGAAAAACGAGAAAATTTACAAAAATAATGCTATTATAATTCAGTTAAAAATATTCGTAGTGACCATTAAAGATAAATTAAAAATATGAAATTGCATCATGGAAAAATATTTTTACTACCTACACGAAATAATATGTGTTTACTATGTAATTCATTGTATTCAATATAATATATTTATTTTACTATAATAAAACATCATATATATTGATGACAGAAATTTTAATGTTTTTGAAATATTTTACTAATCTTAAAACTAAAATATTAGATTTCGAGCGTAGCGAGGGAGCAATTGATTTTACTAAGATGTTTATTTTTCTTTTTAGTATGTGGACACGTTTTTTTCTAGGAAACTTGCTCTGATTTTTTTGTGTAGCAACTTTTCTGAAAGCTCAAGTTGTCTAGATGGTACTTTAAAGAGGTCATTTTTTGATTTTTGACGTCATTTAAACAAAAGCGCTTAAATAGGGAAAAACGTAGGAAAACGTACAATTTCACGATTTCATTATGTTATAAAAACCTGGACGACGTTCTGTACCAGAAAAAATGATTTAATCGAAAAATCACAATATTATAATAATATGACATCACTGATGAAATAATAAAATAAAATTCTGAATATATATGATCATAATGTCGTTAAAATCTAAATAATTATATTGCATCTTAAAATATGTTACGTTGTACATTTCTATGTGATATTCTACCATAGACATTTAATAATAATAATATATATATATATATATAATATTATAGATATATATTTTCTACGCTGGAACCTAGCGGTTTTGTATAGGATTTGTCCCAATATATACCCAAAGCTGCATAAACAATCTATATAAATATATAATAATAACAATATTAAAGTTTTCCGAGTACAGTTCTCTGGTTTACCCAACCGTTACGACCGATTGATTCTTATACCGATACATCATAGACACCGCCATATCGGAAAAATGTATTAATGTAAACAATAGATACACGAATATGTTATCTATATATAATGATTTGTTTTAATTTTATAGAAAATACACATTCAAATTAAAAATACTATAATACTTTAACATTAAACACACCGTTCAAAATTTTCAGAATGGGTTGAAAATCTTTCTTCTAGTTGTTGTACAAAAAAATCCAGCTATCGAATAAACTGCAGTGACTACAGTTAAATTTTTAATACATATTTTCACTGGTGTTAATTAGTTTTGCATAATTTTGGTATATTGAATAATTTAAAATTGTAATACTTACGTCAGGTTCAGGCTTCTTTCTAAAAAAAATTCAATAGAATACTATTAGTAGTTGGTAATTTTTTTTTTTTGTTGCGCCGTTTTTATTTTGCTTGTAAAATCAAAATCAATTATTACTATGTGGTGTGACTACAGACTGTGTGAGAATAACACGGCGTGTAGTGTGCAGGTACACGAAATTGTGATAATCAGGGCCGGATTTAGGAATGTGGGGGCCCTGGGCTCACCTTAGAAGTATATATTTTCGATAACATATATTTAATATTTTAATATATTATTAAAACTTTATAAGTGAATTTAATTTAATAATAGGTATATTAACATTTACCGAAAAACAATATTTAATTAGAAATAAAATTATGGTTTAAAAATATTTATATTATAATGTCAAAATAATAATAATAAAAAAAAAATGTAATACAATAAAAGTAGGTAGTAAATTATGTTCATTAAATATATATTTACCAACTAGTACTGTCACTATATATTTATATCGTATATATACCTACATATTACATAGTCTATAATAATAATATTAATATAATACTAAATAGTATATAATTAATAATAATTTTTATTATATTGCAACTTTGCGAGATTTCGTCGCTGCAAATTTTTCAACTACTTGAGAAAAATCCAATGCTCTAAGTATGTCACTTTCTACACTTAACAGTGCAAGAGTTGATAGTCGACTTTGTGTCATCGAAGTTCGTAGTCGGTTTTTTATTAACTTCATTTTTGAAAACGATCGTTCCCCACTGCAGTTGGACACCATCAAAACCAAATATATACGCAGCACTACTTCTATATTAGGAAATGTACATTGTAAATTATTTTCCACAATAATCCTGTATAAAAATATTTCCCATTGCTCATTATCTTTACGCGTTTCTACATATATTTTGACAAATGAACTGAACTGTATGAATTCATTACCAAGTGAAGATTCTAAATCATTGGGGTAAATGCTAACAAGATAATTTGCAGCAGATTGTAGCTCAGAAGTTTCTAATTTTTCAAATGTATTTAAAAAACCAAAACGTTGACAAATTGTTTCGTAAGCAGCTATTCTTTCGGTTAATGATACTGTCAACTGATCAATTACTGATATGAAGCTTTCTGATCTGAATTTTTCTCTTGGTAATAACTGAGTTGAGGCTGTTTGATTATTATTTAATGAACTGAGTCTAACATTTTTTTTCCGATTATGAATTGGCGCATAATCATTTAATCCTGACATGTCTTTTGCCTTTTCTTCGTATTCTTCATATTTGTTTTGTATTTCTCGAACAAATGATAAAAGAGAATTAAGAGCATTTACAGCAGTTTGAAGAACTATTTTCGGGGACTTGTAAAATATGATTTGTTGAATCGAACCCCTCTAAAATATCATTCAAAAAATTGCATAAAATGCCACTTCAAATTGACACATTGATTCGTAAAGTTTTTTAGATTGGATTTTAACAATGTTTTTTTGATCAAGATCATTTGAAATTTTAAAGTTCCTGTTTCAAAAACGGCCACAATTTTGAGATGTCACTGTTTATAGGTACCTATAATATAATGTATTAAAATTGAATTAACAACTTAAATAGTTATGAAATCGACATCCTTGTAATACTTTGGTAGGTAGTTTAATGGATAAGAAGTTAGGTTAGAGTAAACAGGGTCTCAGGTTCAATACCCCAACAGTTCATCAAATACATGCTCCGTTTTTTTGCATTTTTTCTTATTAAAAAAGAATTTTAAAAAAATATGATTTTTTAAATATTTACTAAATATTATTATATAAATGTCCCAAGATCATAAAAAAGCGGCCAAAATATGACCACTGAACATTTTAGGAACATTTCTGTAACATTATTGTGCATAAATTAAAATTTTGTTGAATATTATTATTAAGTAACTAATATTCTGCACAAATTCTAAGAAAATTTAATTGCTGTCTGGGATGTTACTAACCAGTCATAAAAATAAACAATTTTTATATGAATAATTAAATATACAGTAATTTACGCACTACAAACACTCAATATTCTGTACATATAGAAATAATAAAAATTGTTGCAGGCTGTGTCCTTCACGTGTTTAATTTTGTTAACTATAAATTAATAATTCCACGCGACAAAATACAAAATCGGTCGTCGCATTAAGTGTGTAAGCACGTCATGGCCATTAATGCGGGTGCGGTAAACCAACGGACGTTCCATGCAACAACGGGTTGTTACGAGGTGATACGTGTTCACGGGCCAAAGGGAAAACGTGTCCGGGTACGGACGACGTGCCACCATTAGACAACAGTGGCAGTGTCCACCACCATCTAGGCCTCGATCGAGGCGACAACCATATATAAGGAGACCGGAATCATCACAACAAGGCAGAACCTGAACTTAGTCAAAAGTCGAAACAGCTACACCACCACCGACGCTCGAGAAGGATGAGCACCGTCACCTCGACGCCAACCCGTTCAGTCATTTCTTTAGTGTACTTATACCTGATAATTACAACCAAGTCTTGACCCGAGTCTGGTGTCGCAGAGTTTTTAATTATAGATACAAATTGTCAACCGTATTTTGTTTAAATTCTAATAAAAAAAAACCATTTGTAGACCTAATACACGTGTAAATCTTCCCATTAAAAGGCTGTGTCCGAACGGTCCGTAACAGTATACAAAACAGGGACGGATTTAGAGGAGGGCTAAGGGCACAGGCCACCCCAGATATATTATTTCTCCGATTTTTGTCTCAGAATTGTGTGAGAAAATAATGTATATAATGTATTTTATTATATTTTAATTGTATTTGTGTTGTAAAAATATTGTTGCCCCCTTCCCCCAGATCATTTCTCTGGATTCATGCCTGATCCAAAATTCATTAAAAAAACAAAAATTAAGTCAAAAAACCCTTAGCTCAACTTTATAACTCTTATAAAATATTAATTAAATGTTTTTTTCTAATGACTGGATAGTGGATATGTTATTGTTTATTATTTTCTATTAAAAAGATTATTATTATTCTAATGGCTGTCTCGCGCCCGGCGTTGCCCGTGCCAATTTGTATTATTATTATTTTACCCATATTCATTTTTGGTTTTGACTGTGTTAGAATTGAATCAAAACAAATATGTGGAAAGTGGGTAGTCCACCTTCAGCGGACTAAATGTGTTATATTTGAAATAATAATAATAATTAGTAAATAATAGTAATAATAATAATTATAAAATACATTAACTTATATATTCCATAGTTTGATCAACTCTTAAGTAACCTCTAAAGTTGCTATTTTACAAAATTAAGTCTTATGTAACCATTATAATGAAAATTATACATCAGTATTCAGTATCATTAAGACTCATTATATATTTTAGATTCTGAATGGAACAAAGCATATAGTTTTACAATGCTTATAATTTTTTATTTTTTTATTTTTTTTTTACTGTGAACAACTTTTCTATGGAAATATTGCTCCGAAAAGAAATCTGATAGGGGTGTTACCGTAGGGGGGTCAAATGTTTCTCTCAGAAGTTTTCTCAATATATTGAGAAAACCGGGAAAAACAGGGGAAAATAGGTAAAATAATAAACAAATATTGTTAAAGAAAATATATAATGCCTGTACAGTTAATTTTACTCTAATATGATATGTACGTTGTAGACTTTTAATTTTTCAGTGTCATTTTGCAAACAATGTATGACAAAACAAATTTCTGAAACATTAATATGGCCAATAGGTATTCAATTTATCAATACATTGGTTTATATTTAAGTTTTTACAAATATTATACTCATACTTATTCAAAAACTGTAAGCCATTTTCAAAAAGTTTAAATTATATTAACCAGTGATATTTAAACATTATAGACAATTGTATGAAGATAGTTATAGTTTGTAAATTAGTAAAATTAGATATGTGAATTGAAATTTTTCAAATTATCATAACAAAATTGTGTAAAAGTTATAAATACTTAACGTCAAGTAACTATGTAAAGAATGTTTAAATCACTATTATAATTTTGAATTAAATAAAATGTATATGTATACTGAGTGGAGCGGAGCGAGGAATGTATTGGTTTTACAATGACGTTTATTTTTTTCTCATTACTTTGTTAAGACCACCCGGTCTAGATGTAATAAAACGTAGTTATTAGTATTCTATTTGTATTCAGAAGACCTCAGTTACATTTTATACATTATCAGTTGTGTCATAAATAATTTATTAATAGTGGAGTTGTAATAAGGAAAAGTAGCACAGATATATACTTAGAATAGTAATTGTCTTAATTAAAGGCTCGTTTTCGGTATATAGAGAGCACGCGAAGGACACTAGTCAACCAGTCGTAACCAAATGTGAGACAAGTACTTATGTATATGTCATGTCTGTGCGAATAATAAACTTTAAGTCTAGGACAATTGTGTTTATTTTCTTAAATTGAAATCCAAATCCTTAAAACTCGTTCTGAGTCTAATCGGCTCATAACAACTTATTCTTTTTCAAATAAGAAAAATTTGAATTTTATAAATTTTTATATGAAAACAAGTTTTATAATTTTTGAGAAGCCAAATTAATTATTATTATATTTTCCTAAAACCATATAAAAACTAAAAAAAAAACTTAATAGAATTAATATAATTTATTAAAGTCTACGATTATCAATTTCATAAATTTAAAATAACAGAAACTTTTATTATCTAAATTTTCCTCCATCATTGAGAAAAATACAAAGAAAATCAAATTAGTCCAATAATATTCAAATAACAAACATTTTCCCGCTGTTGCAGCCGATTGCTGCAAATAATATCCTCATGAAGAATCCCTGGCAATATACGTAGTCCTACCAATCGATGGATCGATCATATAATTTTGATTTTAGTTCACTGGCCGACTTAATTCACGGATAACATTTGTCATTTGTCAAATATCGGTAGTCATAGAAATCGTTCGTCATAATTCATTTCGTACACACTCCCACAAATCTTTATCTGAATATTTATTTCAATAAAATCCAATCAATTATACAGAAAAATAAAAGTTTTTAAATATTATATTTAATATTCTTGTATTATATTTAATAACATAAAAGAACTACAGTAATCATGCGTGAAATTTGTCACCTACAAGCCGGCCAATGTGGAAATCAAATCGGCGCCAAAGTGAATATTACCAAATTTAGTAATAATCTAAAATATTACTTTTTAGCGGTGTCCCGTCGCGATTTAGGACTTTTTTATTTTTTCCGTGGGACGATTATTTTGTCAACGATTTATTAAAAGACCTAACTTTGCGTTTAACGATTAGGAACGTGACTTAAATTCCTAAAGGATTTCAAAACTGTTTTATTATACTTTATATAAAGACAACCAACTTTCTGTTTTTGCTCTCTCACAATCGTCGTTGTTCGATCGCTTTTCATTTTTTGTTGAATTCTTAATCTAGTTAATGAATTGAGGAGGTCGTCTTTTGATTTTCCAATTTTTATAATAATCAGGGAAAACCAAAAAAAAAAAAAGGTAAAGGAATAATCGAAAAATGTATAACAACAGAAGTTTCATTTTTTGGACCAGAAATCTAATCCAAATAATAATAATATTTTTTTAATAATTGAGAAAAACCGCGTCATTATTTTCGATTTTTTTTTTATTATTATTCTTGTAATCCGATTAAAAATAATAATGGTAGAGATCTTATTTTAGGCTTTTCTAGAAGTAGTAAACTGTTATAAACATTCTAAAGATTTTTAAAATATTTTTAGGCATTATACTATTTTGAGTTTTTTAGATTCTAAACTTAGCGAGGAATATATTAATTTTCCATTGATGTTTTTTTTCTCCATTATTTTTATTTTTTTTTTTTATCTGTCAACAACTTTTCTACTCCAAATTTTACTCAGATTTTAAAGTGTAGTACCTTTACTGGAAAAAAAAATTGTCTGGGTGGTTTTCATAATAATTGAAAAAAAAAAACAGGAAAAAACGTAAGAAAATGGAAAAATTTACAAAATATATTATTTTTGATTTTGTTTTTTGTTGTAATTCAGTTAAAAATATTCGTAGAACTTTGAAATTTAAAAATAATACTTATATTTTCTATTTCTAGACGTGGTAAAATTTTCAAAACATTTGTGTTATTTTTAAGCTATTGATAAACATTTTAATTTTGTAAGTCTTTAAACATAATTTTTTTTTTTGTTAGACCAAACAGACATGTTTGAAAATTCAACTCTGAAGTTCATTAAAAGTCGTTAAAAAAAATTAAGTGTTATGTAGAATTTTATTTATAAGAATATTTCAGTATAACATTTTCACGAAAATCGTAAATATTACGGCCTTTCAAAACACGTACAACCAAACTCCGCTCAAAATCGTAATTCGTTGATCTAGATTTAAAATCCGATATTATACTACTATTATAAAACAGGCCCATAGCCATCTTTAGTTAGTAAAGGCGGTTTTCACTACATACGTGTGCGTGCACGTACATAGGTACGAATTCTTCGCTGTGATTGGTTGGTATCAATAGTGAGCGTTTGGTATACCACAGTTTTTATTACAACACGTTAGCAATGATAAATCGTATACCTTAAATTCCCTTTAATATCCTACCTTTCTAAATTCTCACCTTCAACAATGGCCCAACAATCGTGTGAATATTTTTTAGTTTCAATTTAGTTTTATGTAGATAAAAGATTTGAATAAAAAAAAAAATGCTTTTAAATTTAATAAGACGAAGATACATAGAGGGAAGTAAGATAAATTTAATAAGTTTAATTTAGTAGCAAAAAAAAAAAATAATGCAGGTAGTGGTTTTTTATTTTTATAAACGGTTTTAATATCAACTGAATATCACACAGAATCGTTATTCATAAATAATGGTTTATACAGATATAAATTAAAGAACTTTATGTATCCTACTTTCTTAAGTTCATATCTACAACAGTGCCACACTTTCTAACAGAATCAGCTATTATTTGATTTAATAGAGACTTCATCGCTAACATTTCTTTTTTCCGCGTCTTATGCGTAATATACGAGTATATTACGATTACGACTTTTTGATTGAGATAGTAATTATTATATAATCAATGATAGTTATTATTGAACTTCGGTAAATCTGGATTTTTTCCATCGAAGTCTTTGCATTCCTGTGAGAATTTTTAACAGCTTTACATCTCTATAATTTTCACTAATTATGAAAAAGTTTTAAAATTACAACTTTGACATCGTTTTTTATCCAAATATTTGACAACAATTGAAAATCCCATTAAAAAATCAAAAAAAAAAAAATATTTTGGTTAAAGTCGTCGTCCGACTTTCGTTTTTTATTATACGCTTAATCATTTGTATACCTTTTCGAGTTACGAATGTGCTCGTCGGCGTCCAAGTTTGGTTATTAATACAAGTTGTGCATTATATGAAACGAAGCTATCGGTCATCCGTTTCACGCGTGTACAAAGGTCATCGTCGTCGTCACTATTATATGTTTTTTGCGGGATTTTATTCGGCTTATCTCCAATCGACGACAAGTGATAACGATAATTATTTTATTTATTATTTTCACATTTGCAGGTAATAGACAAAGGATAATGATTAATGACAATTGACAATAAACTAACCGTAGCAACGCGCATATTTTATAAAATAAAATATATTTAAAAATTATATTCAAATTAATACAATATCGATTTCTGTCGGATTTCATTGAAACTAAAAATGCTGTTTTCAAATAATCCTATAGCATGGCTTATCTGTATATTATTGAAACAATGGTAATAATTAATCGGATACAGATGTAAACTAAATTTCTTTCTATATCCTACCTTCTCAACTTCCCACTTACAACAGTGGTCACATGATGTGTAGTAAATATGTTTTTACGTTTTTTTTTTTTTTTTTTTTGACAATTTAAGAAACAAGTAAGATATAAAGAGTTCTGAAAATACTTGATTGCGATTATTATTTGTTTCATTTACTTTTGGGGGGCGAACCGGCTATTACTTTATATTTTGATTTTTAAATAGCAATCTAAATTTAAACTTCCATATATAGATGGGATTTAAACAGTTGAATAAGTTAATTTCAGTCAACCCGGTTCCATTTTTAAGTTTGAATAGGAGGAGAGTATTTGAGCATTATTTATTGTGGTGACATAGTGTGCGGCGTAGGTATAGTTAAAAACTAAAAAGTTTCTTTATAACATATATAAGATTGTTTTTTTGATAACTTAAATATAGTTTAAAAAATGTGTAGACAAATATTCCCTATTCGAATTTATGTCCAAATGAAAGGCGTCAATTAAATAACACCACTTTGAAAGTATAACTTCAGTCAAACATTCTTTTTGAAAGGATGTTACACTTGAAAATCGGAGCGAAAATCTGATGAAAAAGTTGTTCAGAGAAAAAAAACATCATTGTGATTTTTTAATCACTCTGTGCATATTATAAATAAATGAGTATTTACTATTCCTTGGCCGAACGATTTTAGATCCCGAGCGGCGCAAAATGTATTAATTTTACAATTTCTATTTTATTTTTATCCGTGAACAACTTTACTTCTCGAATGTGGTTTCGATTTACAATGACAGCAATTTTTCTTGAAACTGACTGAGATGGTACTTGAGGGTGATCATTTTTTAATTTTCCCAATGTTAAAATACATGTGGTGGCCTCTCAATCGGTGACAGATTCAGAAATTAATTTTTTAACCATTTACAAAAGTAAAATATCATAATACAAGAAAATATCATGCTATAGGTATTACGGTCAATGGGGTAGTGGGAGCAAAATAATTTATTACATCCTTGCTCTCAATAGCCGATGATATAATATGACTAAAATGCTACATTTTTATTACTTGCAATTGTTGTTTTTATAGTTTTGGGAAGTAATATCCGACGAACACGGCATTGATCCAAGCGGATCGTATCACGGTGATTCCGATTTACAATTGGACCGGATTAATGTGTATTATACCGAAGCACTTGGTAAACATTTTTTATACAATTTATATTATTATTTTATTAAATAAAATTTAATTAACGATTCGGCAAATCGTAATTTATCCTACAATTAATTATAGGTATAGGAAAGTGTCGAATCCTGTATAATATACACTCTGTATAGAAATTGGTCCTTTCTGTCTCATGCATTAACAACGTTTATTGTACTACCTAGCTAAATATGACAATATTATAGACATATATATATATATATATATATATATATTATTATCCTATGTATAGGCGGTAAATACGTGCCACGGGCAATTCTCGTGGATCTGGAGCCGGGAACCATGGATTCGGTAAGATCGGGTCCCTTCGGTCAGATATTCCGACCAGACAACTTTGTTTTCGGCCAATCCGGTGCCGGCAACAACTGGGCCAAGGGGCATTACACGGAAGGAGCCGAGCTGGTGGACTCAGTGCTGGACGTGGTTAGAAAAGAGGCGGAAAGTTGCGACTGTCTGCAGGGATTCCAGTTGACCCATTCGCTGGGTGGCGGTACTGGTTCCGGGATGGGCACGCTGTTGATATCGAAAATTCGTGAAGAATATCCGGATCGAATTATGACCACATACAGTATCGTTCCGTCGCCAAAGGTAGAATAATAACGTTGGTTATATTGCCACCGAGAATAATAATATTTAAATTGAAAAGAGTGTCAATTTTAAAATTATAAAGAGTCTATGCATAAAGGTCGGAATAATAATTCCATAAGTAAATTTGGAGGGAATGAGAAAAGTAATCAAACTCACAACCTAAGTGATTATTTTATTCGGGGAAGGGGGATAGGTGAGATCGAAAACCGTATGAACTGCAAAGTAGATTGAAAAGTCATCATCTGACGATCAGATGTCGAGTAGTAATCACCACATAAAATATATTATGTTTCGACCGATAGACCGCCGTTTTAACGTTTCTTTTTTTTTTTTTTTTTAATCAATCACTCGAACTTTTATGACCTTTTATCATGTGGATACCTTTATAAAGATGTAAACATTTTATGTGGATAGGTATCCGACACGGTCGTGGAACCGTACAACTCCACACTGTCCGTGCACCAGCTGGTCGAGAACACGGACGAATCGTTTTGCGTGGACAACGAAGCGCTGTACGATATATGCTTCCGGACTCTGAAGCTGACAACGCCCACGTACGGCGATCTCAACCATCTAGTGTCGGCTGCCATGTGCGGCGTGACCACTTGCTTCCGATTCCCCGGTCAACTCAACTCGGACCTGCGGAAACTAGCCGTCAACATGGTACCGTTCCCACGGCTTCATTTCTTCATCACCGGATTCGCTCCGCTGACGTCCCGTGGTAGCCAACAGTACCGCGCGCTATCCGTACCCGAGCTCGTTCAACAAATGTTCGACGCCAAGAACATGATGGCCGCTTGTGATCCGCGTCACGGCCGATACCTGACTGCCGCCAGTATATTCCGCGGCCGCATGTCCATGAAAGAGGTCGACGAGCAGATGCTCAACGTGCAAACAAAGAACTCTGCGTACTTCGTCGAGTGGATACCAAACAACACCAAGACCGCGGTGTGCGACATACCGCCCAGAGGCCTAAAAATGTCCGCCACGTTTATCGGCAACACGACCGCCATCCAGGAGATGTTCAAGCGCGTTTCCGAACAATTCACATCCATGTTCAAGCGTAAGGCATTCTTGCACTGGTACACCGGTGAGGGCATGGACGAAATGGAATTCACCGAGGCCGAGTCCAATATGAACGATCTCATATCCGAGTACCAACAGTACCAAGACGCCACCGCCGAAGAAGAAGGTGAGGGCGACGAGGACGAAGATGCCGAGAACTAATGTTGCTGTAATACATGCACTTATTATAATAATAAGTACATCATTTTTATTAATTATTTTACAACCACGATGTATACATGATTAGAAAATTGTGTGATATACTAATTATAATTTTTCGGAAAAAAAATTATCATAGTTTTCTTTTTTATTTGTCATTTATCAATCGTGTATATTATAGTACTTTTTGAAAATTCTATGGCCTTCTATAAACCTTTTAATGGGGGCAGGGGGGTTATAATCTTATTAACTAAGGCTTTACTTCAGGAGGAAAGTGATAGGGTTTAGAAAAATAAATAAATCAACAAGAGTGTAATTTTACCCTAATTTTGTAACCTAACCTAACAAGACAATTAAGAGATAATTGGTTGAAAGAATTATAGATATTAGTATCAATGATGTTTGGTTTTGAAAAAAGTGAATCTTATTTCTCGTTCCTTTGTATCCTTAGCAGAATACATCTTTATTTATCTTATATAGTCTTGTTTTTTAGAGATTATTTCACAAAGTATATAATTTTATAATAGAATTTTTTATACCTAGTCGTGTAATTAGTGCATATACACAATCGGTGAGATAAACTGTTCGATAAGATCTAGCCCACTGATCCAGAGATAACAGCAGCTCTGTTTAGATTGAATCCTGTAAATTGTATCATTTACAATAAAGTTTACAATCCTTTTTGTTTTTATTTTTACAAAATTTATCATACATATTTACTTTTGAAATTCATGTAAAATTATTACAACGCTTAAATTTGTTTTTCACCACTAAGGGCCATTCACACCAACATATTCTCTTTCCTTGATTTGATTTTTTAAACTGAGCTTATGGCTAGTAACTAGGGTTCGGGACTTATTGTACTTCTATTAAAAAAGGACTTCAAGTAAATATTATTATACCATATGTTAGAAGGGTTTAAATGTTCTCCCTTGAACAGCTTCAACTTTTTAAATACAATTTTCTAACGCTATACAAATTGTAAATTTTTTATAATACTCACAATTTTATTTAAACAAAATACATTTTTGATAATAACTTATGTCGTATTAGAAAATTGTATTTAATAGTTTAGTGTTGTTAGACAGGAAACATTTAATCCTTTCTAACATTTTGTCTAATAATATTTGCTTGAAGTGCTTTTTTTCAAGGCTTTTTTGGCGTTTTTAAGTGCTTTTATGCAAATTTTAGAATTTGCGTAAGAAGTCCCGAATTCTACTAATAATCGACCACGAGTGGTTATCTTATAAAATCCATTAAAAAATCAACGTTTATATTGTTGAAAATGTCTCTAGTTACAACTGATGAATCTCATTTAAAATTTGTTTAGCATTTTTACATGTCAACAAAATTGTATACACATTAAACCAGTTAAATTTATAAAAACTTAAACAACTCAACATTTTTTTAAACAATCCGAAGATTGTAGTACTTCAAGAAAATGCTAATATATTATGTAGGTAGTTAAGCATTTTGTAAAACCTAGGATCTCTTTAGTTCCTGTCCACCAAATTACAGTAAAAAAATTAAAATGATCAAATTTACACTTATCAACATGTTGTCATAGAGTAGCAGCAATGTCTGGAGATGGAAACTCTATTTGGAGTACAGGCAGAAGACAACAATGGTTTTTTTCTTTCAATTTATGCTTTTTTGTTATTAAAATTTAAAAGGACTGGCATATTTTGCACGTGGGTTCAGCCACTTTTGTAAGTGGGAAGTTAGAAAGGATACAAACGGGATTTTAATATATATATATATCTGTAAGCAACCATAAACCATTTGCAACGAAAAAATGATTCCGAGCGGAATTCAGTTTGTGTTGCTGTATCAGCAATGTATATATATGTATATATATATTTTTTATAAATTATCAATCAAATCTTAAATTCTAAACCATTCTGTACCTATTATGTCCCTTTTGTAAAATTTTAAAATCTGTATATTTTGGAAAAAGTAAAATAATTTTTTATCAAGATTTTAAATTTTCAGAATATTTAGCATTGGGTTGTATCCGAAAATTAGTTTTTATAATTTTGGTTACCCTATAATAACCGATTTTATGTTTTAAAAGTTTTAAATTCCTTAAAACTTTTTAACAAATTATTTGAATACTCATCATAATAACTTTTTTCGGGTTAGTAATAATATTAATTCGTGAAAAGAAGCTTTTATTAAAAATGTATAACATTTATTTCGTTATATATGAGGAATATTTATGACCAATATGAGTATATTTTATGGTCGAATCATGTAGGTAAAACAATAATATTGTATCTAATTGCCTTTACCCTACATATAGATGCAGCTAACACAACTTACACTATGTATAATAATTGATACATTTACTTCCCCATTTATTTTGTTACGTTATATTTATGACAAATAATTATCGTCATTAAATTAAATTTTCATAATAGATTTAGTAAAGAAGTTATAATGTTAACCAAACATAATAATATGAACCGTTGAAAAATGTAATAAAAAAAAATGATTGTGATATATTAAAATCAGCCCAACAACTTATATACAACACATTGTAGTTTATATGCTCCATTTCACAGTTTCCAAACATTCAAACCGGTTTGGAATTCATTAACTATCTACCTAATACATGCAAGAAATTCGTTGGTACAAACCGGTACAAATTTCCCATTGAAAATCAAACCGGTGTAAATTTAAAAAAGTTTTTGGTGTAACCAGTGTTGAAACAAACGATACCGGTTTAATTTGTCCGCACCATCACGTGCATATGGTACAAATTATTTACAACGGTTTCATCCATTCTCATTTCCCCTTCGAAATACTAAACGAACAGATAAATGATAATAATAATAATTTAATTAATAACAATTAATATTCAAATGTACAGTTATCGCCAATGTAGTATCAGATAAACATTAGTTTTAGTCCCATGATCTAATAAAAATTATGTTAATATAGGTAAATTTACTAGGCTGAAAGTCTATTAGAAAGAAAACGTTTTAAATGATAAAAGAGATCCTCGGATAATGGGGACGGGTGCAGCCACTGTTCCAAGTAATTTAATATACTCCTGTTAGCAACAATAAATTGGTAACGAAAAAACGATTCTCAATGGAGTTCAGTTGATAGTGTAATGGCTTTTTCAACAATATATATCATATATTATGGTAAAATAATCACATAGGCAATATATATTTTCTTTAAAAATATTTGTTTAATATTGTACCTATTTTCCCGTTTTTCCTAAGGTTTTCCCTGATTTCCTATTTATTAGGAAAACTAGTGAGAAAATCCAAAAATGACTTCTCTAAAGTACCACCACACACCAATTTCCTTTCAAAAAAGATGCCACACTTAAAAATCGGAGCAAGATCTCTCGTAAAAAAGTTGTCCACAGAAAAAAAAACATCTTTGTAAGACCATAAGTTTCTTTGCTCCACTCAAAATCTAAAATCAACCTTTATATGAATAAATAATTATTTATTAATATGGTACATACTTACCGACTAATTAACTTGAACTCATAAAAATAGTTGGTAACCTATTCTTAATATATGTAGTACTGAGATTTGTATTAAAAATAAACTCTTTAAAAAATTTAATTTTAAATGGATTAGTAGTCATTTTTTTTTTTGTACTTGCTAGTTTAAATATTATATATTAATAAGTAGGAAATGGGAAGTGTAGGTAATAATTTAAATAATTTATTAATATTTAATTGATAGTATTATAATTGTTAATTTTGGACAATTATGGGGATACACCGATTTCCATCGTCAAATATGACTGGTATTAAATAATCGGTATCAAGTGTTAGTAAATCGGTACAAAATGTTATACGTAGTATTTATAGGTCTATGATAATACCACTAATACAGGGGTGCGTTCGAAAACTCGTAGTTAGAATTTACTCTTATCAATAATACATACAATCAGAAAGGATACTTAAACAAAATCAAATGTAAATAAAATCGTAAAGGCCATCTTCCTAGCACGCGCAATTCTTATCATTTATCATTATTCATTTGATAAGTTATTCGATTTATCATGTTATTGAAAATATTTTTTTGTTTTCAACAACGGTCTTAGATTATTTCAACTTCAGTCTCCAGATCATCAGGATTGATTTATAAGTTTAAAGTTTAAAATTTAAAACCAATTATGAAGTGTGTGTTAGAGAATTGTGTTAATAACCTAGTGTCCCAAAATTGGGTTTATAGTTATTTTAATTTTCCTAAAAATGATCCTATCAGATATGTACTTAATACTAATCAAAGTAACTGTTAATTATATTAAAAACTTTAACCACATTAAATTGGATTTAAAATGTGCAAAATGGATTACAAATTGTGATCTATTTCAATTAATGATATTTTAAAAAAAAAAACATTATACCGTATGTGGCAAGCATTTTGAACAATGTATGTTTTTAAACAATTTAAAAAACAGACTTCATTCTCATGCTATACCTGTATTATTTATTGGTAATGAATAATACTGTTAAATTATGTATGTTAAATTACTGCATGTCTATTATATGTATACTGTGGTTTACATTTTAAATTACTAGATTGACAATTTTGAATTTATAAAATAATATAGTCTAGTATTTTATTACATATAATACACATTGCATTAACTTAATTTTATATAAGTTTTTGACATCTGCTTAAATAAAACCATTTCATCCAAACAGATTAATTTTGAAAAAGTTTATGTTATAAGTAAGACTATTTCAACCCAAACTAAAGAGTAAACTTCTTCCATTGTAGAAGTTTTAGCATCTCAAGTAAATAATCACCAGAATAAAGATGATGTTTCTGATGTATACTTGGATCCCCCATCATCCACTGTACTGGATTCACCCAAATTTTTGTCAAGTTAGTATTCAATTCATTTTTCACTCTTTATTTTATTTTATTGAAAAACTCAACAACAATTTTTAGGTTCATCAAAATCTATGTAAACTCTTAAATCGTGGTCTAATAAAAAGGCCTGAAGAAAATCAGAGAATAATT